AAAAAGAACCCAAATTGCGGCGCCGATGCAGGCTGGCCACAGCGTCCGAAGCGTTCCCAAACAGCTCGGTGTTGCCATAAAAACTGCTAACAGTATAATTAAATGCCTTAAAGGGACAGGTACGGTGTCGAGGAAGCCCATCCCAGGCAGAACAAGACATGTCCGCGCCAAAGAGCTGGTTGATATCGTGCACAAGATGGTGTCTCGAACTCCTTGGCGAAACATGCGCAAACTGGCAAAGGACCTCGATTTTTCGCCTAAAACGATCAGGAGAATCATAAACGATGATTTGGGCCTTGAGTCATACACGATGCAACGTCGACGCCTAATTTCGGCGGCATCCAAGGAGAAGCGGCTTCACATGGCCCAAAAGATATTGGAGGAAATCAGAAGCGCCGGTAGCAAGGTCTTCCTCTGATCTGATAAAAAGATTTCCACGGTTGAGCCCCAGATGAGCTCTCAAGGCGTCAGAATCTTGGCAGATGTTACATCCAGCATTGATCCTGCTATCCAGGCCAGTTTTGGTCGCTACAACCTTGCTGGTGTCATGGTTTGAGCTGCCGTCGCATCCGACGGCTCAAAAAGACCCTTGATCTTCATCGAGGCGGGTGTGAAAGTCAGTTCACACGTTAATGTCCATCTGCTGGAGTAACATGCTCTGCCTTGGATCACTCAGTCGTTCCGAGACGGATACGTCGTCGTCCAGGACGTTGCGTCGTCTCAGACGGCCAACTTCACTCAACAGTGGTGCAAGACCCACATGCCTGGATTCTGGGACAAGGACATGCGGACACCATCAAGTCCAGACCTGAACCCGATGGACTTCACCACCTGGGCCATCCTGGAGAGGGAGAAGTGTGCAACACCACACAGCAGCATCGCCGCTCTGAAGCTGGCACTCGAGACGGCATGGTCGAATTTCGACGAAGACACCGTGCGGCGCTCGCGCCTCTCCGCAGGGAGAGGTTTCGGGGCAGGGGTGAAGACCAAAGGTGGTCAAATTGGTTCATAGTGCCGTTGCTGAGATGTGTACATGCTACTGAATACGTGTACCAAAAATCATTTGAATATCTTCGTTCTGGACCGAAATATTTTCAAAAATCAAGAGGTAAATCTTTCTGCCCCACCCTGTATGTCTAGCATTAGGGCGAGCGTGCGGTAAAAGCTTTTTGGACTAAACCGCATAATGTTGAAGTCAATTGAGCAAAGGTTTCGGCCCATGGGCAAAACATTTTATCAGCGAGATTTTGTATCATTTCCTGAGGCGGAGGAAGGTGCTGGAAAACAGCTAAAATAATAGAAATTTAATTCGCAAACATACGAGTTGCATTTTGACTATCGATATCGTCTATTAAACATAATTCAATTATTGCTTTCCGATACGATAGCATTTAAGATCCTAATGTGCTTATCGATTAATTAACCACCTACATTTTAGCATCAATTTTATGTCTTTTTAACTGCTTGGACCTGGCAAGAAACGCATTTCACATTGATGAGCAGAAGCTTTATTCATACCGTCATGGATGAACTACCAATTACATTCACTTCACAGTATTTGTACACCCTCCACTCTTCGCTAATTATTGAAAACAAACGTTTGAGCCTCTGCTATGACATAGATTAAAGTATATGCTCTTGATTTTATATGAATCCAACTCAGATCTAGACGCAAGGATGACACACAGCGATCTTGAGCCGGTTTGGTTCATGGCCTTGGTCAGAGAAGATACACTTTTTTGGCCTCTCGATGTTCCGTCTTGCTTTTTCACTTCTTTCGGGCTTATAATGTTGTTTAATATGCTTAAATATGCAAACGAAGCGGCATATGGGATCTGGGGTACATAACCCTCAAAAAGCGGATCTGTCGTTTTACTCTCGATTCGAGGGTCACGGGTTCAGGTCGAGCGGGTAACCGACCCTCGTTTCGGGAGTAATTTTGCCGCGCATGCGCGGGAGGAACTGCGTCGCGACGCCATATTGTGTCTCGAGAGGCGTTGGTTGTGCAGCAGTGCTCAGCGTGTTGGTGCGGCAAAAAGCGGTGCAGCAGTGAATCAATAGCATCTAAGCAAAGGAAAAATGAAGACTGATCGATCAATAAGCACGACAAATTCATCCCATCATTTCAAAATACAAAAGCTTGCCAAGAAGATGAAAGATGCTGAGGGGCCGTTGGAAGGACGAGAGGTGAGATTTTTAATGTGTATTGTATCCAATTGAAACTCTCTGTCTCCCTCTCTCTCTCTCTCTCTCTCTCTCTCTCTCTCTCTCTCTCTCTCTCTCTCTCTCTCTCTCTCTCTCTCTCTCCCTCTGTCCTCTATCTCTTCTTCTTTCGGTAGTTATTTGCCTTTGTCTTTCTCGTTCTCGATCCCCTACGCAGACGTTTTTCTCCACGACAAAGGGTTACCCTTTCCATTTACCCCCTGTCGTTGGGTAATTTTTACCCCATTATAAAGGGTAAAGAACGGGGGTAACTCCTTGTCAGAAGGTTAACGCCGGGGGTAACTCCCTGTCAGAGGGTAAATGAAAAGGGTCTACCCTCTGTGCGAGTGTAATTAAAAGGGTTTACCCCTGGATCGGGGGTAAAATCGAAAGGGTTTACTCCCTGTGCGAGGGTATCCTAGAAGAGTTACTCCACGGTGGGGTGTAAAAAACGTCTGCGGAGTACGCTACTCCGTAACAGCGGGTTTACCCCCCAGCCGGGAGTAAAAAAGTTTTCAGTGTGGGCCTTGTACAAGTGTGGGCCTTGTACAAGGCCCTATCTTCAACATGGAGCGACCGTTAGTGTGACGTCACCTCGTTTAGTCATTCTGATTTAAATGGGTTTGTTCGTTGAAAAATCGCTTAAAACTTGGTCTCAACTTTGTTGTGGTGCCTACAGAGTAAAAAGAATCAGCTTTATGACAGTAATGTGGCCTGGGGAAGGAGGTAATTTTGGGCTGTGACGTCACATATTTGAAGGTTTGTGTTTGGAATATGGGAAGCCTAAGATGTTTAATGAAAAATAAATGCCAGAACCGTGTTCCTGGTCATCCAATCTATAAAGTCGGGCACAATTTAACTGGTTTTAACAACATTTTAGAAGGTGGGATAGTCCCTTTAACGGAAATTTCTGAGTATGAGCGGCCGGCCGGCCGTGGTCACGCTTTTGCGAGACTTATATCTCAGCAACCACTTGACCGATTTACACGCAGTAATTTTTGTAGGGTAGCTTCATTCCTTCTACCAAGTATTGGACTATTCCTGATGCATGTGGGTGACCCCTTATGCACGTGCCACGTGCAAAACGAAGAGGTGTCCGTTTTGTAATTGTTGCAATATCTCTGTAACTACTTGGCCGATTGCGCTGAAAGTTGGCATGTAGGTAGGCACCCACTAGGCACTGCATATCCATGTGCTAGAGTTGGGGCGCTGCTGCACGTTCGCACGTGCAGGGGTCGTTTCCAGATCTCGAGAACGGCTCGACCAATTACCCTCAAATTTGGTACACAGTTAGGGACCGGTTAGTAGGGTGCCGTGCACAAGTCAGTTGGGACCCATTTTGCACGTGCGCACGTGCAGGGTGCCGCTTCCAGATCTCGAGAACGGCTGGGCCGATTGCCATGCCATTGGATGCCATGCACAAGTCAGTTGGAGGTACTCCCTCGCAATTTCGCACGTGCAAGGCCCACCCTCTCGCTCGCTCCGTTAGTCGCCCCAAAAGGCGTTATACTGGTATTATATAGTCTCAGCTAAACCTACGTAAGTGCTATTTCAGTTCAAAACCCCATGTTAAAATGGCATATTTCCTTTAAATATATCAAAACGCAATGTAGGTACTCTGTTTTACATGCAAATAAAATGTGAGAACAAACTTCTTGGACACCCTGTATTACAGGTTGGATGTTGATGCACAGAGTAACAGTTGACTGGAGAATGATGTTTATTGCGTGATAAATGGCACAACCTACTGCAGTATTTCATTCATATGACAGCTTCTGAGGAGTGGAACAGCATTCTGTAGTCAACTGTAGGGGAGAGTGGGGAGAGTTGTATCATGTCCAAGTTGTATCAGGGCGAATTGTGCCAAACTTATCCAATAGATAGCGCTCGTGACACGACCAGCCGACGAGGTTTTCCGGGCGCCATCTTTCCCTGTTCTGTCGTGTGGCTGGGTGGACGCGTCTCGAGCTGAGAGCCGATTTTATGTTTTTTTAATGTCATTCTAAAAAAATGAGTTGCAAGAAAATGTGTGTTTTGGGCATTTAGATGTGCACGAATTTGAAAGATCTCCGTAGCGGTGGTGAGGGTAGGTTCTAAGGCTGCGTGAGTGAAAATGGGTTTCTCCAGCTGTCCGCTGTTTTTGAGCACGAGGATGTTTTTTCCAAGATGGCGGCGAGGTACATGTTGTATCAGAGCCGGGTGGGGTATGTTGTAACATGTATGTATGTATGGGTACCTATGTTGCTTTTGATCGCGAAAGCTAAGCCCTGTCTCGCGTTTGTAGATAGCTAGTCAATACTCGTTCCATTTCGGCACAATGTGTTGGCTTCTTTGCTCTTAACGGGCCACTTTTGCATCTAGTCTGTTGATGTTTCGTTCGTTTCGATGTTTCGTTCGGATTGCATTGACCTAAGTTTGGTCTAATAAAAGTGAAGCCTTTGAGCATATACATTGTTTTAACCCCATTTAATGTTGTTGTTATGTTCAAAACCAGTAGCAAGCACACTCCCTGAAACGTGAAATACCTAGTGATACAAATTACCCCACCATGTGATACAACTCACCCAAGCCATGGGGCAAGTTGTATCAAAAACATTGTTCTATTCGGCAGACCGTAGAAGAAAAACTGGTAGAGGTAGCGGAAAAGTTACTTTGCACAAAAAAGCAGAAGAAGCAAGGAAGGAGATAGTATGTAAATAATGAGTTTATCACGGATAGTTACGAGGTTATGGGTCTCGGAGTAAAAACTGATACAAACCACCCCACTCTCCCCTACATCATAAATCAATAAGTAAAAATACATTCGAAGCATTTTGTAGTCAACTGTACATCATAAATCAATAAGTAAAAATACATTCGAAGCATTCTGTAGTCAACTGTACATCATAAATCAATAAGTAAAAATACATTCGAAGCATAGAATAGAAAAGTACACACAAAGCGTTTGGTTTTGGAAGCTTGATCACTCTCTCTAAAAAAAAATGCGTAATTTTGAACGGTGATCAACTTTTCATGGACGGAAAGCTTTGCGTGTTTCTTAAAATATACTTGAAATGCATTTATTTTGATATTGGTTTATAGTTAACATCATGTTGTACAGTGGTTTAGAGTTCGCAGCTGGCAAGAGCTGATACTACATCGGACTGGGCGTCCCTGTGCATGTTTTCCTCATCGGCAGCGTCTCCGCTCTCCTTCGTAGGTGGTTCAGTGCCGGCTGGGTCCGGCTCCTGTGTCGGGAGGGCGCCATCCGGGGGTGGCTCGGGCTCTGACTCGGAGTCGGACGCCTCGCTGTCCAGCGCGCTGCACTCGAACAGCAGCTGGTCCGGGTGCACCTCGCCCGCCGAGCTGGACGAGTCGGTCGAGTTCCAGCGCTCGAACAGCGCCATGTTGGTATGTCGCAGCAGACCGAGCCCGGTGGCGGCCCGCACGGCCCCCCAGCGCGCCTTGGCCCGCACCACCCGCTCCGGCTGGGCCAGCAGCTGGTCGGCGTGCCGCTGCACCTCGCTCCACGCCAGCTGCACGTCGCGCAGCTCCGTGTAGCGCGAACACACCACAAAGCGGATCACGTATTGGGTGCCGCCGCGCAGCATCGACGGGATCATGTGCACGCGCCGGGCGGCGTTGACGCGGCTGAGCAGCGCGTCCGTCAGAGAGTTTCCGAACTCCTTGTCGCGCAGACGGAAGCAGACGAGGCCGAGCACGGCCGGCGCGGCCACCTCAAAGCGCCGGTCGGAGCGCACCAGCCGCTCAAACTCCTTGGCCAGCGAGACCTGCTGCCGGATGTACGAGCGAATGCCTTCGACGCCGTACAGCCGGATGACGAACCAGAGCTTGAGCGCGCGGAACCGCCTGCTCAGCTGGATGGCCCAGTGCCGGAAGCTGGGCATGCTGTTGCGCGCCGTGGCCAGGTACTTGGCGTCCACGTGGAACACGTCGGTGAGGTCGGTGGCACGGCGCACCCACAGCGTGGAGCAGTCGTGGGCGGTCAGCATAAACTTGTGCGGGTTCATGTTGAACGAGTCGGCCAGCTCGACGCCGTCGAGCAGCGGTCGGAACTCGGGGCAGATGAAGGCCGGCCCGGCGTACGCGGCGTCGATGTGCAGCCACAGAGCGCGCCGGGCGCACACGGCGCCGACGTCGCGCAGGTGGTCGAAGGCGCACGACGCCGTCCTGCCCAGCGTGGCCGCCACGAAGAAGGGGATGTTACCGGCGGCCAGCTCCTCGGCGACAGCCGCCTCCACCGCCTCGCCGGTGAGCGCGTTCCGGGTGTTGGAGCGGACGGGCCGCACCCGGAGGCCGGCCAGCAGTCCGGCGCGCGCCACTGAGGAGTGCGCCTGGTCGGAGGTGAGACCCACCAGCCGGCCGCTGATGTCGGCCTCGGACAGCTCGGGACGCTCGCTCCGCAGACGGGTGATGGCTCGCGCGCGTGCCGCCAGCATGGTGATGAGCGTGCTTTCACAGGCCGAGCCCTGGATGTTGCCGCCGCCGCCCTTACCCGAGCTGAAGAGGAACTCGTCGGGCAGCTGGAGCATCTGGCCGAGCCAGTCCATCACAAGCACCTGCAGGTAAGGGCCAAAACAGCATAATCATCGTTCTCGATCGCCAATACCTTGTGCGATCGTTTTCATCAACCTTATCACGAAGAACTCTCTCCATTCGATGTCCCTAAATTCGTTTGGTACGTTAATATTGCCAAACTACTGGCAGTTAGCTGTCAATCACTGAGCCGCGTGATGATGTTATAACCTTTAACCCGGCGGCCGCTGGGCCTCCGCGCCACCCGCCGGCCGCTGGGGGGGGGGGCATATAGTTGCCCCCCCCCCTTTACTTCCGCGACGATATCGTCGCAACGCGAAGAGATAGAGGAGCGAAACTTTGCACACATCTTTCTGAATACCTAGCCGAGGTTGTGTCCAAATTTGGTGTTGATCCCATTTGAAATGACGTCACAGTGACGTCATAAGTCAAATTATAGATTTGCGACTCTCAGTTTCCTCACGATACATCAGATGTATGGGACCGAATATAAAGAGCCGATTATTGGTCAGGAACTAGATGGAAGTGTGCTTAGATGTTTAAGGATGACAGCAGGTGCTGTCTAGTTCATTTACAGTTAAGTTTCATGCTCAGCGTCATCAGAAACGGTCCATATCGGAAAACAACAAAACTTTATGACGTCACTGTGACGTCATCTTTGGTGCCATAACCACCAAACTTTATCCAAACATTGCCTAGGTATTCATTTGAAGCTATGCCAAGTTTCACGTTCGTAGCTCATCAGGTTTCGGAGATATTCCACAAAACGTAAAGGGGGGCAACTTTATGCCCCCCCAGCGGCTCGAGGGTTAATAAATCCTTCAGCATAGACCTCCGAAGTTCTTTCATAAATACATCATATTTCCCATCCTGACCTGACATTAGTAGAGCTGGAAAAGCATCTGGGCTTGACAAATCTAATTGATATTTCACTATTTAATTTCACAACTTCCTAGAACCTGTCGCCCGTCCCTGAGCGAGTCACTGAGATGCTTTTTTGCTCCTAAATTTAGCAAACGGCAAAACGTCGACTTCAAAGCTAATCGTATTAATTTTTCACCGCTATGGATGGGCCGTTATAAGAACCTTTACTGCTGAGCTAGGCTCAATGATGTCTTGACATAGTGGATGACAACGCTAAGCGTGATTCACTGTCGGTGTTCCCACCCGAAATTCGCATGTCCTTTGATACCTCAGTTGGGCAAACTAGACTTTTGGAATCAAAATATGGAGGCATCAATAATTTGATTCTGGTGGGAGGAACCATGACCAAATATGGGCTTGGAATCAATTTTTTGATTCATTTGGGTACACTTTTGACTTCAAATGAATCGTTACGGTTGAAAAAAGGCCCATGACGGTGAGATTTTCCTTTTAAAAGGTAGACAAATGTGGTAGGTTTGCAAAAAGTGTTACCTCAAAGCTAAGAAATTGTCCCTTTGGCCTTGTGAATGGGAAAAAGACAGAGCCACTGTCCATCACGTAAAAGATGCTTTGAGGAAATCACACTGTATGTTATTTTTGTATCATGAATCACATGCTAACCAATCAGTATTTGTGTAAAATGGCAAAATGAAATTTTTAAACCCCTAATTATCATTGTTGTAGTGCTTTTATATTATTTATATGGTTTTTACCTGTTGCTTCAGTTTTTGTATTCTTGACATTTAAAAATTGTGAATTGTTATCAAATGTAGTGAAGGTAAAGTACAACAATGCCATAGGTATCAGTTGTGGTGCTGAGGATACCACTAAATGAGAATAATAGCAAGATAAATGCTGTATTCTTGCAAGTCATTGTTGCCTATCTGTTAACATTACCTGTGAATCAAAATAGGGGAGAGTGGGGTAAGATGCCCAGGGTGGGAAAGACGCCCCACCCCCTCTAGCGGGGAAACTAAGAATCGGACCTGGAAATTAATGTTCTTAGCGTAAAGTGGAAGCCTGCCTTGTTAACTGCACAAAAATTTGTGAAGCTCAGTTGGGCAACGGCTGGCTGGTGATTGCATGTTTTTTATTTGCTGCTTTCAAAAAATATTTTGGCGTCAAAACATTGTAAATATCAAAAGAAGGTAGATAATTTTTGCGTCCCTTGCTATAGTCGTGATACATTAACATGCGTGTACTGTGTCCCAAACAGTTTGTTTCAGGGTGTAGCTTTATGGCTAACAAATTGTGCTGATTTAATGTTACTTCGGTACCTTGGGGTAAGATGCCCCCTGTCCTGATGGGGAAAGACGCCCCCCTAAATCCGTAGGCTGTCCTTCAAGCAGCCCGTCAAATCATTTATTACATACTTGTGATGTGAGACAAAAGCCGATCTGGGACTATTGAGAGTCCGGTGCGGTCGAGTGCTCCCATGCCGGTCTCTCGGCCCACACAGCGACTTTTTGGGCGGCATCTGACTCTGAGAGCCCTCACGACGGCCTCTGTGGGCCCCATTATTGGTTCCAGGGCCCCTCACGACATCCTTTGAGGGCTCCCACGTTGGCTCCACGGGCCGCGCTGGCATCTGAGGTCCCCACGATGGGCTCGAGGGCCCTCAAGCATCATGAAGACCTATAAGGGCCCCACAGTGGTCTCCGAACGCCACCACGGAGGCTTGTTTGGCCACGCTGGACTATGATGGCCCTAGCGATGACCTCTGATTGCCCCTTACGACTACTTTTGAGGGCCCTTACGATGACGTTTGGTGTCTACTGCAGGCTCGAAGGGACTACTGATTCGTTCAGGCGATTCACGTGCCTATATATGTCACTTATAGTGCAGGGGGGCATCTTACCCAACGCCAGGGGGCGTCTTTTCCACCCTGTGGGGTAAGATGCCCCCTTTCACTTCTTCAGGAAAATGCTTAATAGCAAAAACAGTTATCATATTTCAGGCACGAAAGTGTGATATTTTTGGAGAAAAATGATGCCGGCTTCCGTTGAAACTCCAAGTTTTGGCTTTCCGATCGTCTTTTTCGAATAATATATGACATAGTCAAACCCTGGGCATCTTTCCCCACTCTCCCCTAATGATTAGCCAGCTGATGGGGAATCAATATTATGATTATATGTTTAAAGTGAATCAATTCCTTGATTGCCTTTGACTACCTATAGAATTCAAATTGTTATGATAGGAGCAATATTATTTTGCTTAGGAGATAGTTCAAGCATTTCTGTTCAAGATCAGGCATGCTCCTTCTTGAAACACTCTTATTTTTATGTGATTAGTAAGTTAGAAATAGCCTGCATTTATGCCCAAAAAGAATCAATCTTTTGATACCTCCATATTTTGATTCCAAAGGTCTAGTTTGCCCAACTGACCTGTACCTATCCGCAAAGGCCTGCAGCGGAGTAAATCCTGCCGTCTCTGTTTTGCCCGGATAATCACCTCACAATCACAATCACACGCAAATCTTAAGTGATTTTAAAATGAAACGTTCTTTTGACCACCGGTAAGTCACGAGCCGCTGGGGGGGGGGGGAGCGGGCATTAAGCTGCCCACCCCTTTGCGCTTTGTGTGCAGATAGCTCCGAGACCTGATGCTTCGGGGATGTGAAACCGGAAGTTCACATCTTGGAGTTGTGAACTTGGTACATAAGAGCTTAGAATGAACTTAATCCTCGCCGGTACTGGTGCTTTGGCAGCCGCTAAGGTATAGGATCCCTTGCCGTTCGGCCCCTGATCGAGCGTCTTTTCCGTGACAAGAGAAAGTTAATGATACTTGATCTTAACCCTCGCCCTGGCAGGGCTTTTTTCATAACGCGGCCTGGCATGGGGGAGGGGGTCGATGCGACCCCCCTCGCAATGGCTCCTATGGCACCTAGAAACACCAAATTTGGTAGGCAGGTGGGCCCCCCGGAATTCTCGCCTCTGTGCAAATTTGGTTGCTGTTGGTCAATATTTAGGGGGTTGGAGGGCGTTATTAATGTAAAAACTAACAGAGCTGGAAGTTGTTTTGTCTCGGATGGGAGGCGCGGGGCAAAGTTGACGGGCAGAGTGAACAGACCCTAATTCTATAAATTGCTTCCTCCTGTACAACAACCGTTAGACCTACTAATATTGAAATGTATGTACCTATTGTCATCTTCATCTCGGGCACTTTTCGGTTACTCATAAGTTATCCCCCCAAAATGCAATTCAATGTTTTTCCACGAATGTCCTTGGATTTTTTACCTACCTACAGGCGAACGATGGCAAAATAAACATTCATCCTCTCTTAACCCGCGCTGGGCCGGGGGGGGGGGGGGTGTTTGAACACTCCCCCTGCGTTTTTTCGCAGATATCTCAAAAACGGAGCGCCGCCGTTTTTGGCACACCTGTTCGTGCATCTGTTCCGCACATGTTGTGAAAATTTCAGACCCAGGTCGCCTTAGGTCAGGTCACCAGGTCACGCCAAGTGACCTCACCTCAGAAAAATAAGAATGCTCGCCATAGCTACACCGATTGATCGATTGCCTTGAAACTTTCAGCGATTGATTAGAGCATCATTATCTATAAAATGTTTATCTCGGAATTTTGTTATCGGTGACCTAAGGTCAGGTCAATTTTGCGGCCTCTCCATTATAAGTCAATGGGAGAAAATTGAAAAGCGTCTTTTTTGCACGGACGCTATTCTAGACACTCTCAAACATCGAGATGTAGGTAAAATTGACACACTGAACCGGAAAATGGCAACTGTGACCCCTCGTTATGTCCCCAAGGTCATCTCAGGTCACGAACAGAATCTAACAGTTTTTCGCTAATACTTCTGATAGAGGCGTGCTAGAGCGCTGAAAACGCCTTAGATGTGTTCGGCTCGACGTTGCGGATCGACTGATATGCAACATGACCTTTTCCGGTCAGGTCACGACCTTGACCTGAGCTCAAATTTTCAAGTTGACCTTTCAATGAAATTTTCAGTAGACGCTGAGAAAGGATAAAGGAACAGCTATACGAAAAAGCAGGCTTCTAGCTTTAAAAATGTTAAGTGTAGAGCAGAAAAGAACTACCTGGTGTATCAACCCCCGCCCTCCCCATGTGCGGGCGATGGTTAATACGAGAATGTGTGCGTTCAACTGCCGAGTATACCTACCTACATGAGCTCAGTGATGTTTTCACCCAGATTTGCCATCAACCATATCTTACCTCGAGCTCAGTGAGAACGGGCGCCGACGCCCAGGAGATGCCCATGCAGCCGAGCGCGTCCGTCAGCATATCGGCCAGGATGGACGGGTACGAGGTGGCGCCGGCAAAGTAGGCGTGGAACTGTGGCGAGTGCCAGTGCAGCATGCCCGGCATGATGACCCGCTCGATGTCCGGCATCAGCTGCAGGACAGAGCCGAGCCGACTGATCAGACCAACAGCAGAGGCACGGCCAGGGCCACACAACAACACTGCACGGCAGAGCCGAGCCGACTGATCAGACCAACAGCAGAGGCACGGCCAGGGCCACACAACAACACTGCACGGCAGAGCCGAGCCGACTGATCAGACCAACAGCAGAGGCACGGCCAGGGCCACACAACAACACTGCACGGCAGAGCCGAGCCGACTGATCAGACCAACAGCAGAGGCACGGCCAGGGCCACACAACAACACTGCACGGCAGAGCCGAGCCGACTGATCAGACCAACAGCAGAGGCACGGCCAGGGCCACACAACAACACTGCACGCAGGGCTGGTAAAGTGTTATGTCCTATTGACGTCGTCGGGGACACAGTACCAGTAAAAGTTCAAGTACCCGGGGTCAAAATTACCACATTTAGTAAACTTTTACAGTAATAAATAACTTTCAAATAAAGCAGAAACTAAACGCAAGTAAAAGATATCATTGAATCCACAACGTATATCCCCTTTAACAAGGACATAAAAAGCCCCTATACCTAATACATACCTACAACATGGTTATGAACAATTAATAGCCACAACTCACTTCCGTTAACAGCAAAACTACCGTCGACAGTTGCTAACGAAAACTAGATCAAACTAGCTGATCAAACACATACTAACCCGCGCCCTGCTGGGGGGGGGGGTGTTTGAACACCCCCCCTTGTGGTTTTTCGCGAATATCTCAAAAACGGCGGCGCGGAGCGCCGCCGTTTTTGGTACACCTTATCATACATCAATTCTACACATGTTGTGAAAATTTCAGACCAAGGTTATTCAAGGTCAGGTCACCAGGTCACTTGAAGTGACCTCACCTCATAAAAAGTTTCAATGTCTGTCATAGCTACACCGAGTGACCGATCGCTTTGAAACTTTCAGCGATTGCTAAGAGCAATAGCATGTACAAAATGTATATCTCAGAATTTTGATATCGATGACCTAAGGTCAGGTCAATTTTGCGACCTCCCCATTATAAGTCAATGGGAGAAAATTGAAATGCGCCTCTTTTGGACGAAAGACATTATAAACACTCCCAAACACCGAATTACAAGTGGTTTAGACACACTGAACATGAAAATGGTGTCCGTGACCCTTGTTTATGCCCTGGGGTCATCTTAGGTCACGAATGGTATCTAACAGTTTTTCGCAAATAACTTTTGATAGAGGCATGCTAAAGCGATGAAAACGCCTTAGATGTGTTCAGCTAGACGATACGGATCGACTGATATGCAACATGACCCTTTCCGGTCAGGTCATGACCTTGACCTGAGGTCAAATTTTCAAGTTGACCTTTCAAGGTCAAGTTATAGTTCATTCGATGCGTCTTGACGAGAGGAACACGATGCTGGTAAAAGTAAGCTCGTACAAGGCTTGGGTCAAAAGTTATTGCAGAAAAACTGTTTGCGAAAAAATCGGCTATTTTTGCAGTTTTTGCCCCCTGCAGGCAAAACCGTTGACGGTAGGTCAAATCTGAGAGAATTACTCAGAAAGGGCGTTAATAGGGCTATCGAATGCGCTTTTCCGCGGCGCTGTAGCTCTATTGGTTCCCGAGTTATGCGTTGGCTTCTTGGAAATTTTCGACATTCGACCTGGAAATCGGCGAAATTTTGCCTTCAATGACCTCTGGTGACCTGACCTTTGACCTGAGCAAAAAATTGACCGAAGTGATTTCGTCATTATTTTTTACGCTCTTTCGAACGCCGCCTTCCGCGTATCGCTACGTGGCCCAGGAGCCGAGTTACAAGGGGGGGTGTTCAAACACCCCCCCCCCAGCAGGGCGTGGAAATCCAGGACCCCCAGCTGGGCGCGGGCTAACAGACGCTTAGACACCGACCCCGCTGTCGGCTGTGCTATTTCAAGCGGGGTTGATTGACGACCAGTTGTAGCCAGCTATACGACTAGACAAACGACTAGATTCGGAACCGGGGTCGGACTGGTTGGACATGGTAAATTCATGCGGGGTCGATAGTTTCTAGCCGTTGTCGTTGTGAGCTACCGATACAATAGCGACACCTACTGCATCTGTTCGACGATCGTAGCGCCCCCTACCCCTTCCGGGTTCTTCGTCTGTTACGCTACCCGCTGACCGAGTGATGCCGTGACATTTAATTAACAAACTGGAAATTTCGAAGCGCGAATCTGATAAGCAATTTAGTACATATGACTGCTCGTAAAAAAATAATATAGAAATGAAACCTAAGGAAACGCGCATCGTAGTTGCATGCAGCCTGCATACATGAATCGTAAAAAGGTCGGGGTCATTTTTCGCTCTCATTTTTTGGTCGGGGACGCAATTTGCTTTTTTTTACCAGCCCTGACTGCACGGCAGAGCCGAGCCGACTGATCAGACCAACAGCAGAGGCATGCGGCCAGGGCCACACAACACTCCTCGTCCCGCCAGGCGCCTCCGTCACTGACAGGAGTAATGCGGCATGATTCGAACGTCTGCTCCTCTAAAGGTGCCAAGGTACAGGTCGCGCGGGTTTTAGCGATAGGTTTTGTACCTAGAAAATTTAGTGTACTTCAGGCTATATCTTCGTCGTCTTAAGCTTTTAAGTGTTGAAGATGCGATCGACTTGTTGGGTAACAAGCCGGCCATGATCGTGTAAAATGGCTTCATCGTAGATCGATTAGTTTCTGAGATATAACCGGAAATGTAAAAGTGCAAAACCTACCGCTTAATCTCGCGAGACCTGTACGTTTTAGAATAAAACATTTACAACAAGATTCCTTTACTGCTCAGGTTGGTTTACTACGGAAATAAAGGCGCCGTGGTGACGTCATCATAGGAAATCCTTCACGTTCAAATGAAGGGGTCATTTCCCCTGCAAGTGCACGAAAAGGCCCGGAGGGAAAAGGCTGGACAGGTCAACGTGTTATCAACGGCGATAAGGATGATGTGGGAATGCTTAGGGCAGAGGTTTATGTAATCCTCGTAAAATAACTCGTAGCAGAGGACATAAAGATGACTCGCTTGAATATCGACAGAAGGCTCTTGAGCACATTGACGAGAAGCAATGTTCACAACTTCAGCCGCGACCAAAAATCTCACCACAGACTAAAAAAACGATAAAAAAGAATGGTATGATAATATGATACATAGCGGATTGCATCGAGAATGTTCCAGCGATCATGTGAAGCAAACATTCTGGTGGGGCCTATGGGCTCATCAAGACATTGCGCAATGCAATACGACGAAGATGCTAGGGATCTGAACAAACCAAACTGATAGTCACATCTCCAGCTCGCAAACGCTATCGACAACATGTTTGTAGACATCGGAACTTTACGAGATGTGAGGATTTGAGACTGAGTTGAGTTATTTCATTGCTTGCTAAGATTTCTCAATTGAAATTAGGCGATTATTTCCTTACTAGAATAAAAAGTTAACGTTTTTCCCAAACAATGTCCTCTCACTATTCACTAATGATAAGTTTCATTGCGAAAATATGTTTATCACAAATAAAATGCAAATGTTTCATTGAGCAGTGTATGCAAAGGAACCGCATTTTCAGTTGTGCAGGAAAATGCTGAAAAAAGATCTGAGCCAAAATCATTCGAATATAAGTCCGAAACCGAGTCAGCATAAATATGCGCATAGGACACATGTCATTGCTGACTCTGAAGCTGACTCGCCTGTAAAAATAAAATCAAGGCCTTAGATAAACACCGGACAAATCGCCCCACCCCACAGGCCAAATAATCCTGCTAGCGGGGCAATTTGGCCGCTTTGCAGACCGTTGTAAAACGTCAAATTGAATGTCGCTTATTTCGAGCTACAGCGCTTCCTAAAAAAGCGGCCAAATTGCGCCATCCTCCCCTACGCACCTGGTCCCAGGTCTCGGCGTGCTGGGGCGCGCTGGCGGGCACCAGGTGCCGCAGGTATCCGGGGCTGACGCTGGGCGACACGGGCCGGCTGCGAATATTCTCCTGGTAGTCGGTGATGAAGTCGATCAGCTGCACGGCCGCCGTGCGGAACGCGGTGGCGTCCATCTCGGCAACAGCGGAGGTCCAGGCACGAGCGACACGGCCGCAGCGGCTGGCGGGCGCGGGCTATCGGCAGCGGCCGCAGTCGGTCTGGGCTCGGCCGCGCCGCCAGGGCGGCATTTAATGGCGCAGCGGCGTGCCGGATGGAGCGGCCTCCTCCCGGGAACGGAGAAGGCTCAGCCGCGAGCTGCCGGCGGGATTGTACCGGCCGCGCCGGCCGCGGCGGGACGGCCCGGCCAGTCAGCGGCGGCGCCGGCCGACGTCACAGCGCGGCGCGCGGACGTTCCGCCGTGACGTCTTTGGACGTCTCGTCTTGGTCCAACGGCCGAGCATTACCTCGAACACGCCGGTAGTGTCATCACACCGACACTAGCTCAGCGGCTTCAGGCAGCTCAACTCATATGTCAAAGATCCTGTTCAGTTACAGCCATTTTAGATGTCTTTTTTGTCGGAGTTAAAGGGACACTCCCACCTTAACATTAGTTTTGAGTTGAGATAGCCAAATTGGTGGCCATGGCCTGCAAATACCGGTTTGGGCACTCACAACATCGAAAAATGCTTTAATTCGAAGATATGGAATTTCAAACTTGCAGTTTTCGGATTCTAAGGGGCGAATGCATTGGAATGCCCCCTTAGAATTTGTGACGTCAGCGGAGATCTAACGATTTTTAAATCTTAGACTAAAACCATCGTTAACACGTGGTGGTATACGCTGCTTTGCGCGCAACGTCTGCCGCACTTTAAGGCTGCCAAATTATTGCTTCCAAATAAAGTCGCTAGTAACAGGGGAAATCCCAAAAAGTAAACAAAAGTAAAAACCTAATATCTTGAAAACCAGTGAATATTTTTCGGTGAAATTTGGTAGATATTCGTTTTCGCTCTTTCTGAACCAAGGGACATCACTTTCATGCCAATTCATTAACTTTTTTGAAGGTGGGAGGGTCCCTTTAAGTGGCTCACTATTTGTAACAGTTGGTGACTTACCAGGGAAATCAGCTAAAAATGGAGCGCATTATTCATTTATCCCGTGATGTCACCGTCTCCCATAGGGTTCAATGTGAAGGATCTCAAAATGGCGCAGATTTTGGTACATACCCTTCTCACGAAAACCACTCGGCCGTCCTGAAAACTAATTGTTCCGCGATTGGAGTGTCATGATAGACGGACAAATGAATGAGCAGATAAGATGGGTGCCGCAATAGCGCCCAACTCCCTGTTGAGCATATTCAAATATGATTCAAAATCATGCGGATATGAAAATAAACAAAACGATACAATTCAACTTACCGTGATTTTGAGTTTTTATTCAACTACGTATGAAATCAGCCTATTTTCGGAAACAGCATTTTCCGGATTTCATAGATAATTCTAAAATTTAATCCGTGAGAAAAATGTTTATGCCGGAACAGCGTTCTTCCACCAGGCGTAGTTCTCGGAAGTCTGAACCCTTCCACAGCGCGTGGTAATGCTCGTTCGGAATAAGCTCTCCTGTTTGACCTGGGATCAACCGTTCAGTCTCCGGAGTGCACAAACTCTTTAAATAGTCGTTGTAATGTGCTTATTGGGTTTATCCCCTCCCCCCCCCCCAGCAAGCGATGTGTGGTGAAATAACCAAGCAACTGCTGGGCATAGAGCAACCACATCCTATCCCGCGCACCGACGGTCGGCGGTTGAACGCCCCCCCCCCCCCCCCCCCCGAGGTTTTTCGTGAATAGCGCAATAACCGCGGCGCGCGAAATTTGGCATGGCTTTCCCATATCAATTTTACACGTGGTGCGCAAGTTTGAACCTCCTACCTTTAAAGGTCAGGTCACCAGGTCACTTCGAATGACCCAACCTCAAATCCCTTTTTGCAAGGGAGAAAAATCAACTCCCTGTTTTTCCACTAAAACGCGTCAGAATAGAGTTTCATTTACTAGATCATATTCGATCACGGGCGGCCTTAGTTCGTTTCTTTTTTAAACCCGGTTTGGCTCCAAGTACGTTGTTTTTTACTTAGAACGCGTTTTAGCCAGCGTAAAGGGTAAAAGCCATTGACCTGTAATCAGGGGCGTAGGATCCTATACAGTTGGGGGGGGGGGGCTTCAGCCCCCCCAACTTGCTGGTCGGCCCCCCAACTTGCCAGGCAGCCCCCCCCCAACATTATAAAATATGGACAAATCAAAGAAAGCTCAACTTGGCAAGGTTAAATGGTACCATTTTAGATAGTAAAGCAGCCGTCACACTTCTTTTTGCAACCAAGGAGAGGCGCTGTATAGGTTAGGCTGTAGGTTGTAGGTTTTATTTATTTATTTATTTATTTATTTTACATCGTGAGCAATTCCGTCAAAACAAGAGGCTATTACATGCTCGTGTCATCATATAGCAATGGACTGGGGAAACGAGACTACATACATAACGCACATACTTGACACATGCTAACAGGAACAACACTACATCATCACAGAATGTAGCATCACATTCCATGGTTGACATGCTGGGGCTCACGCTGGTGTTCTAACAAGAACTTCCTGAGCGTGGGCTTAAAGACAGCCGGAGTTGACTCTCGCAATGTCTGTGGCAGCTCGTTATAGTCAGATACCGCCGAGTAGAGAAAGCGGCGCCTCCCAAACTCCGACCTGATCGTGGGAGTCACCAGCATGTCACTGCTACGGGTGTCTCTCCCGTGTACACTCCGTCTAATGGACAGGTTAGCCGACAGCGCCGTAGGCTCAGACGTGGCTAACATTTTGTGAATCGACACAAGTCGGTGATACATGTACATGCTATCAGCATGAAGCCAGCCACGTTCATTGATGACGTCACTCACGCGATTTTAGGTTTTAGGTGGTAGGTCTTAGGTTGTAGGTTGTAGGTTGCAGGTTTTTGATTGTAGGTTACAACCTACAACCAAAAACCTGCAACCTATTTAGAGGTCAGGTTTGGTTAGGTTTGGTTTGGTCAGATTAGAAAGCATCTCTGGAGTCTGGGTGGTATAACGCCTCTCTGCTTTACGACTACCCAATTTTGGCCTTAAAACTAACTGGGGGCTTTGAAAATGTGCATTGCAATGGAGGGAGTAAACTTAATTTAAAAAATGACTTTCAAGTCATTAGAAGGAACATACTAGCAAAACAAAATCAACTGTGATTTTAGCAAGCCACCAGGACAGGCAGGCGTCACCAAGCAATTTCGGTTGCGGTATTTTACAAGAACCAAGCATTCTGCATATCACTCGAAAACTAATTTTATTTTCAGTTATCTGTCACACCGTTTTTGCAACAAGACTAGTAAAATCAGTAAAATAGAGGTGAAATCAAGGCCAGTGAAATATCGTCAGCTGATTATGTTTATGATTATATCAAATCTTTCAATAATGATAACGTCATAACGAAGAAAAAAACAGACATTATCTTAAAGCTTTTTGGTGAAAGAAATTTGCACGTTCACTAACTTTTCACTGTTTTTCATCTTTTTTTCTAAGATATCTCTTATCTCCCGCCTTCAGAAGAAGGCCAAATCCTTTTTACGGATTTTGACGCCATCGTAGGCATAATCAGCTGACGATACGGCACAAAACCTTTGGATGTTACTATGCGTGCGTTCGGCATCCGGAAAATCAGGGAAAATTATCCGGGATCAGCGATAATGATCGGGAATTACGTTCGGTATCGCGATAGCGAAACATGCTGAAGATAAGCGCTCACCAATAATTTCCCGGCCAAGAATATCCAAACGATAATATTTTCCGGATGCCAAACGCACGCTAAAGCGGTGCAGAAAGCAGAAAAAACAACAAAACAAAGGCGTGACACTCGACAGCTTCGTTTCGTTTGTTTAGGCCAGGGGTGGGTGCAAAGCCATATGGGTGGAGCTCGGACGGAAGGACGGACGATGAGGACAATTGTTCAATGTTCAGGGACGTACCCAAGGGGGGGGGGCGGACGGGGCGCCCCCTTGGAGTTTTCAGGAGGCCCCCGTGGGCCGAAGGCCACGGGGGCCGAAATCAAGTCGGAGGCGAAAGAAATTCAAGGGAATCCCAAAAATCACGTCAAGACATTCAGGGCCTCTGACCAGCCTGACAGCTAGGGTCCTTCTTACTTCCTGGGGCCTCCTGTGAATAACCGCTAGTGTCTGTGTCTGACTGCTAGGGCCACTCTGACTCCTCAGTAGAGAGGAGGCCCTTTAGAGAGGAGGCCCTATGTAGAGAGGAGACCATCTGTAGAAAGAAGGCCCTGTGTAGAGAGGAGGCCCGCTGTATAGAGGAGACCCTCTGAAGAGAGGATGCCGTCTGTAGAGAAGAGGCCGGAGGCCATTTGCAGAGATGAGGTCCTCTGTAGAGAGGAGGTCCCCTGTCAAGACTAGCGAGGAAGCCCTCTGAAGAAAGGATGCCCTCTGAAAGGGATAGACCCTCAGTAGAAAGGAAGTCCTTTGTAGAGTGGAGGCCTTCTGTAGTTGAGAGGCCCTGTGAAAATTGGAGGCCCACAGTAGAGAGGTGGTCCTCTGTAGAGAGGAGGCCCCTCTGTGTGTTTTTTTTTTTGCAAATTTTTGTACGTACAGGTCAATACGAGATCGTGACTGTAATTACACCAACCAACCGTGTCAAATTGAATCGGAATTCATATGTGTACTGTGGAGTGTGAAGGAACTCCGGCTTGTACTACCATGCTAAAAGAGTGGTAAAATTTGTGATTTGGAGCTGTGTTTTGACAAATGCTTTTGCAAATTTTCTCGGCGCTCCGCGCCTCCGATTCATACACCAATCAATAAGAAAGATCGTGACTGTAATAACATCAACCGTGTCAAATACAATCAAAATTCATATGTGTACTGTTAAGGAACTCCGGCTTGTACTAGCATGCTAAAAGGGTCGGAAAATTTGTGTTTGGGAGCTGTGTTTTCAATGTTTCACAAATGTATTTTGCAAATTTTCGCCGCGCTTCGCTCCGTCGATTCATAAACAGGTCAATAAGAGAGATCGCTACTGTATACTACTAATGCATTAGACTAAAAGTCAAAAGTGCGGTAACAATATCAACTTCTGGGTGGCCATGATAGCGGTATCGACAAAGTAGGCGATCGTGATCGGCAAAGCAGGACCGTCACATAACAATTTCTGTTGTAGTATTTAGCAAAACACCCGCATTC